CTCTAGTCCTCTACCAAGGTCATAGACTAGTAGAGACAAAAATTAGAATCTTAAAACTTCCTATTATGTTATGGCTTAAAGTATGGTCAAAATGGAAATAACCACAACTGCAGTTTATTAAGGAATAATGGCAAAAATAATCCTTAATTTGCAAATGAAAATCCTTCGATGTGAACTGCCCATTTTTCCAGACTTGAGCTATCCTAAATTTAGACTAGAGGTGACAACAGAATACAAGTAAACTCTCAGTTAAAAAGGCGAATTTTAATTCTCATCTCATCCTAAACAATGAACTTCTCATTTCTTATTATAAGTAAAAGTTAAAAATAAGTCAGAGCTGTTTCCTGTCATAAAGTATAAGTTGTTAATACATCTATTTTGCTTGAGTTTCAGTCTTACTGAACAACTGTTTGGGTTGTTTTGTTTTTGTTTTTGTTTTTTAAGCTTAACTAATCAAAACCTTTCTTTAACTGCTTCAGCATAGGCTACAGATTAGGAAAATAATTTTTTTCCCCATCAACTGAAAGCAGTCTTTCTAAAATACTGGTTAGCCCTAACACTAGACAGTGTGAAGAAGCTTATTCTGCTGCTATTAAATATATCTTTTCAGAAAAGCAGCCCCAGTAAATTCTAACATGGTGTATAATCATTGTTCAAATGATCCTTTTTAATTAAAAACAGCTTTTTTCACTACCATGTTCCACATTTTTTATGTGATTTTTAATCTAATGTGTGGAAAACTGATACTTTTTTTTTTTGGTTGGAGACATTTCTTTTGATGAATCCATAAATCAATGTGTATCAGAGTCATAATGAGATTAAAACACTTTAAGAAATAGAACTAAATTTCCCCAGAACTTAAGATCATTTATAAAAATGTGATTATCACTGAACATACTATGATACTTTTACACATTAAAAATCATTTTTAACTAATATAAGCAAGCCACTTCTTCTGTACTTGTCCCTCCCTGCCACAATTTTACATTATTATAACTTTAGATTTAGATTCTTACCTAACAAAGCACACAATTACTAGCTGGAAGGTAAACTCAACCCATTGCCTTTACTGAGAATTTGGCTGGAATTCATTTAATTAGTTAATCACTTAACACATTGTTTGCAGGTAGTTTTTATCGAGCGCTACCAGGTGGCGAGGGCCATTTTTTACAGTTGAATAGATTACCTACTGTTATACCTGGAAGTACATATATAATTCACCATTGTATGTGTTAGAGACCCAAATTTTGTCCCTTGGAATTCGTATATCTGCATGTTAGCATCCCTTTAGAGCAATAAAAAAGAATAAAAATAAATGTATTTATATGTTACCTGCATTCTACCACTAGTCTACAAAAAACGTATTAATACGTGTCCCGCGCTCTACTACCAGTCAACGTAAAACGTATAAATACGTTTCCTGCATACAATATGTTAACTAGTAAGGTCTTTGGGCAATGGTCCTCAAATATTAGACAGCCAAGAGGCACCCAGGGTACAAATTTATATATAGAATCCTAGGTCCCGATCAGGATTACCTGGTTTTGAAAGCCCAAAATAAGCATTTATAATTAGCATCAGATATACTTTTGAGGAGGAATAATGCTAGAAAACAGAAAAACAATGGATCATTTTGATGAAGCTAGTGAAAGGCTTAGGTGGGGCACATCAGGCATGGCCCAGGTAATCCTATCCAATAAAAGAGTAATATGCAAATTAACCATCACTCCGTCCCATAGCCACAAGATGGAGGCCCAGTCCTCTCAGCCCCACCGGAGTCCCCCAGTCCCAGCAGGGGGGCCACTGAGAGTGGGCAGCATGAGTGGCCTGGCGGAATGCTTGCGACGAGGCAAGTGTTCCACCCTGGCTGCGGAGGGCCTCTAGGCAATGAGCACAGAGCAGCCGGGGATGGGGGGAATGCTTGCATCATTGCAGGCCGGGCTGAGGGACCCCCACCGCCACCCCTGTGCATGAATTTTGTGCACCGGGCCTCTAGTCTAATAAATAAGAAAGCAGCAAAAGAGAGGACGTGTGTTCAGTCATGACAGCAGCTGAACAGCAGGCTCAGTGTTCCCTCCTTGCCTTCCCACTGAAACATATAAAGCAAGTCAAAGTTTAAATTAGATTGTACCTGGACTGGAATTAAAGGATTTTTACTGTTGGCTGAACTTGCAGCTCGACCTCTGCAGCTAGAGCTCCAATTAGGAAGAGGGTACCAACTCCAGCAGTTAAATGTGGCAATTTGGCCTAGCCAGTGTGGCTCAATGGCTGAGTGTTGACCTATGAACCAGGAGGTTAGGATTTGATTCCAGGTCAGGGTATGCTCCCCTGTGGGGGGCATGCAGGAGGCAGCCAATCAATGATTCTCTCTCATCATTGATGTTTCTATCTCTCTCTCCCTCTCTGAAATCAGTAAATATATATATAATTTTTTTTTTAATGTGGCAATTTGACCTAAGGCAGTCTGGAACCAGAGCCTGGGCCCTAGAGGAGTTATATTTCAGATAATCCTTGCATTATAAGACGATACTGAAAGACACAATACATAAAGGGATGAGGAGGATTAGTGGAGTAGAAATGGGCAGTGAACCTAGAAACAGGTTGAAATGAGGCAGAATAGACAGGTAAACAGTGTAACTGGGGAGTATAGATTATGGAATACAAGAAAATTGTGGGGGAGGAAGGCAGTTTATAAATAGCATGAAACCTCTAAAGAGATTTCATTTAAGTAGTGGGCAGGAAACTATTGTAGGTTCTTGAGCTCAGAAGAGACAATAAAAGAGTTTCCTCTGAAAGCTATTACATGTCAGTGATAATTTCATATTACTAAATTCTCTTCCTGGGTCCTGTAGAAGATCGAGCACTTCAGGGCCTGGGGTGCCAGGTACAGTATTGGAGACTCTGATTCTGCATAGCTGTTCATCAACCTTTCCCTAATCTGGATGGTCTGAAATAGGAGTTCATTCTCCATTCCTCTACTATTCAATCGTTTTATACTCAGCCTGCTTGGCACCTGAAGACATACATCTGTTTACAAGGGATAAACACCAAATAATTTCCCTGGCATTTTCTTTGTATGGTACTCTGACTATATGTATGACTCCAACACTACCTCTACAGTCCCAAAACACATCTCTAGACTTCAAAGATATTCGTAATCAAATCAAACCCAGTCTTAAATAATCTACTTATATGAACTTTACCCTACTTGATCTCCCTAAAGGGTGGCTATCTTTCTCTGAAATGTACAAGCATTAGGAATTGCTATCAATTTATAATTTGTCACAAAACATTATGCCCAGTTTGAATGCCTCATCCTGTAGCTAAATCTCAGTAAACCTTATCCTAAATAAAGGGGAAAGGGAAGTGGGGAGAACAGAAAAGGGGGAGGTGACATAATCTTGTAACAGTCTGTAGCCAAATGAACCCAGTTCAGAACCATTGGTAACTGTTCCCACTCGTTTCCTCCATTAAACTATCAATAACAATTCTTAAACCTTGTCATTGCAAGACTGTAATGTGGATTTCCCCATACTCAACATGTTTTGTCAAGTTTTCATTTTGTAAATGTTCATTCTTGTCTATATTTGACGCTGCAGAAGCAGGAAGGGTCGTATGATGTAGTTAGTGCTGCACAGGGCCTACGTTTTCCAATCCTGCAAAGCACAAACTTAAGCTTTGCCACTAAGGAGTGGAAGCCATTGTCAAACTGTATTTTTTTAAAAAAAAAAAACACACAAAACTTAGAAACATGATTCATAAAAATAAAGTGAACCTATGGTAAAGATCTATTAAATTTACAATGAAGGAACAAGCTGAATGGTAAAAATTATTACAAAATCTTGTAATAAAACCACAACCTTCAGGAGCATTTTTTTTCTGCCAATCAGAAATAATTTGCATCTCAATTATTACCCGACCCCCCCCCCCCATGTAATTCCACAGCCTGGGCCCTAATCGATATTATGTCAAGCCTTGGCTCAGTGGTTAGAGCCTCTGCACACTAGAGGGTCAGGGTTCAATTCCCGGCCAAGGCATGTACCTGGGTTACTGGTTGGAGTGTGTGGGAGGCAACCAGGCCGACTCACATGGATAGCTCGCTCTCTCTCTCCACCCCCCCTTCCTCCCTCCCTCCTACTCTCTCTGAAAAGCAATGGAAAAAAATATCCTCAGGTGAGGAGTAACAAAAAAAAACAGTTACTTCAAGTGAAAGCATAGTTGCCTAGATACCTAACTCATCCTCAGGTGGTTGTTAGACAAGGCTCCATTTTGACTTGGAAAAGGCATGTAGCTATCCCTTTGCCATTCCTGAAATGTTTTTAATTTTAGCATAACAAATGTTCCTGTGAATCAGTTAACTATTTCTACATCCCGCTCCCCCATGGCGGTTTCAGATACCACGAGGAGCGAGGTTTCTTGGGAGGAAAACATCGGTGATAAACTATTGCTCCGGATGGTGACTCTGACACCCCTTCCAGCTCCTCGGCCTGTCCCGGCCGGCAGTG